TGTGTGTGTGTGTGTGTGTGTGTAAGGCAGCCCCCTTACAGGACTGCAGGGAAAGCACTGTACTTTCAGAAAGTACCCTGAAATCTATCAGATGTAGAAATAAAGCAGAGTTAGGATTTTATGGATGGAGAAATTGCACAGTGGTTTGGCCTAAGCTTTCAACGTCACATTCAAGGCAGTATATGCCACTGTTCTTTGAACTTAGTATTTTTGTTATTTTGTTTTCTGCCTTAATATTTTTTATTGAACATTGCCATAATTTTTGGCATACAAGGTAGCAACGTTGGCCTTTTGATAGTGTCGCCCCTTAAACAACTTATAAAGTACTTATTTTTGGAAGAAAAAAGAAACAAAGAATGTGAATCAAACTGCTCGGGTGGGGGATTAGAGGGATTCAAGAAATTAGGCTTTTAAAACACTAAAAAAAAAAAATAGAGTAAAGCACCTTAATAGAAAAAAAAAAACATTTGAATAATACCAAACCGACCACTGATGGTGAAATATATTTGATAGAATTTGAAAAACATGCACATAAGGATTCCCTATCATTTTTTTGTGTTATGGTGGTTCTTGTTATTCTTATAATACTACAGTAGTAACTAGTGGCAATTTGGGAGACCTCTCATCCATTTCGTCAATGCTGTTGACTTGTTTTGAGTTTTGCACTGGTTTAATGAAGAGAGGGCTTATTGGAGATTCTCCCAGTTTAGACACTGTATAAGTTAATGATTATTGTACTTTATGGGAAAGCGCTCTGAGCATCTATGTAAATACAGTATGTGTATCAGTTAGGAACAACCAGACAAAGGCCTGCTTAAAAGTGAGGTTTTGATTATTTTTACAAACTCAAAGTGTCATTGTCGATGTTTTAGCATAAGGAATTGAAATTGTTTCTGAGTTTAGGGAGAGTAAATCTTCTATATATGCGTCCCATCATCCTTTTGACTATAATAGTATATTAGATAGATCCATACATGTAAGAAATATTATTTAAGCTGATTAACTTAGTATTTCATCCAAATATATAGATTAAAAAAATTAACCAGACACTACTATAAACCATAATAACCTTTTATGAAGCCACTGATGTATAAATCCAATCTCAACTCAAGTGACTAGTATGTGTAATAACATTACCCCAAATGAATAACTCTGTTTCTATGTATATCAGGATTAAAAGCAATAATAGGACAATACTGGGACAATAAACACAAGAGCCTGCTTTGTCAGTTCTTTAACTTGACCTTGATTATTCGGGGTAATATAGTGTCTCATATCTTCTTCAAATTCATCACGGATTAATGCCAGTGTAGAAACAGAGGTACGGTGGATTAAAACCGCTTCAGGATCAGTAATTGTTGTGTTCATCAGGGTCTCAATTAATTTTTTTAATCGATCGCATCGCAGGGTGGGTCAAGACAAACTTAAGGATTCCCTCTCCTGAGAGGCGCTGGAATGATGATGATGACTTCTCATTGTACTGTAAAAATGATCACTCGAGTGTAAACAAGCAACCAGAGTGTAAGCGCCAAGGTCGCTCCCGTTTGTGGAGCAGCAGGAGCTGGTGACTTCACTTATGACAGGCTGATGTCTTGAGGGCTTTGGTCAAAAATGTACAACGGCAGCGAGAAGCAGAAGGCGGGACAACATGACGTGATGCACTGCAGCCATGTTGTCCGTTTGATTAAACTACATACAGGGGCAGGCGTGTTATTCAAAGCATATCTTAAGATGACTTTTGTTTACATAGTAATGATTTCATGGCTCTGTTTAATACTTGCTTTGCATCTCCTACTTTTCATCTGTGTTATTTTCAAAGGTCAGACAGCCAAAGAACAAAATACAAGGAGAGCTAACTTGAGTTAACTTATTTTCAGGGTCAAAGTCAACCTGGGTTAGAGTTTAATGGATTGAGAAATAAGCTCATAGCTAGAATTACAGTTTACCCAAAAGTCCTAATTGATCAATATCTGTGAAAAAAACGAAGGCATATCATGCTTCAGTGTTGTAAGATTAGTTTAATGCCACTAACAGAGTGGTTTAAAGCACATCCTGACACTTAATCAGTCTTTAGAGTCGTTTTTCTCTTGGTCTGGTTAAAAAACAAAACTACTTAATCTTAACGTTTCTGAAAATTATTATTTAAAAAAACAAAAAAAAAAAAAACAAGTTAAGAAGGAATCAAAGACAAACCAGCAAAAAGAAAACCGTAAGCAACAAGACTGTATTTTTCTTTTTCTTTTTACTTTATATCGTTTATGGAGCCATTAACCGTATCTTTAAGTTTAACTGCATGTTAGTAAAATATAGTACAATAAGTAAGATTTATCAAGAAAAAAGATTGCCTAAAGAATTCATCAGCCTGATACCTGAAGTGTATAAAAAGCTTTAAGACCTTAAAGTGAACATCGGTTTAAAATCATATATTTACCGTGTAGTTTAACTAATTGATGCATAGTTTAATTATGATTCTTAAGAATATGCTAAGGTGTAAGTTTCATTTGTCCAGCTCATCCAGTATGAAATACTTTTTAATCCAGTGGAGCAGCAAAGGGGTGGGGCGACTCACAGTGACATTTGATTCATTAAGTTCTTGTTAGTATTATTTACAATATTGTATTAAGCTTACTATTATAGTAATGGTAGAAACTGTTGATGTTTTTCTTCTCTTGATATGAAAAGGTCTTTATGCATTTATGTAGAATCCCTTTTAAGGAGTGATAGGAAATCCTTATTTTCAATGGATGCACTTAAGCAATTGTACCAACCTGTCTAAATCACACATTGAGCAAGCAATGCATTTGAATGTAAAAGCAAAACAAACAAAAAAACACACAAAAACGTTTAAAAAAAAAAAAAAAGAAAAAAAAAAAAAAAAAGAAAGACCACTCAACTTAATGCACTCCTTATGCTTATTGTTTTGTCAATTTTACAAGTGAGCTTTAAGTTTTTTGTTTGTTTTTTGGAAAGGAATTTGCGACAGGTTTTCAACGTAGACTATATTTGAGTTCTTCCACATACATTTATAGAAAGTAACTTAAAATTAATTAAAAAAAATAAAAAAACATATTACAGTTTCTCAAATCTATTTTGCTAACATGGGTTATTATTTCATAGAAAGCAGAGGAAAAAAAAAAGTCAGTATCTGGATGTTATTTATGAAAAGTTAAAAAATGAAGCAACATATTTATGAGTAACCTCAAGACATTTTGTTTTTTAATTAAAATTACAAGAAGCTAATATATTTCTAAACACAGGGAAGTCAGTTTCTACTAATAAGTAAAATGAGAAAAGAAGTTTAGAAGTTTTATTTATGAAAGTTATGGACACTCGCCTTTTCCATGCACTTCATAGCAAATGAAGTGCATGCAACAAGAGGTGCTCATAGCTTAAATTTTAACTTCACACGTGCACTACTTCAACATCAGTGCATTCACAATGGAATAATTACAGAAAATAATATAATATTTTTTAGAATTTGGAGATATTTTAGTCACAGAGCATCAATTTCGTGCCTCAATTATATATTTTTCCTGCATCAGCATTCTTTGTGCAGTGCTGCTTGCTGTAACCCCTTTACCCCCTTCAACTAACCCCATGTTACTGACTGAAACGCATTACTCATTTCCTCTGTAATCTAAACTCGCTTTTACTTATCGGAGAAAAAAAAAAAAAACATGTTACAACTGCAACGCTTGGAGTGAATGAGGCAGCTGTGGTCCTCTCGCCAGTAGGGCCACACACTTGTACACACTTTCATTCATACATTTTCTACATCTGCTACTCAGTTTGTGATCGACGGAGCGCCATCAGATCCAAAAAAAAAAAAAAAAAGGCCTTTATGAGAGACTTTCTCTAATGCGTTCGTTCGGTGAAGTGCGAGTGGAGGCATCTAGCAGCGGACAACAGCGCACTGTGTAGTAGATCTATGTAACTAGATGCACACATATACACACAACAGATTCATTACCGTACTAGTTTGCATGTATGTTGTATGGTCACTTAGACAGGAGAAACGGTGCAGGCCCTGCGTTGTCCTCTACCGTCAGCAGACTTGGGCTGTTTCTCCTCTGTAGATTTTCATAGTTGGAGTCTCTTTGGAAAGTAGAAAGTTGACATGAGTTTGGAGCCAGTCAAAGACCATTTCAGTCCCCTCATCAGACTTCCTTATTCTCAGTTACCCGCTTCGTGATGAAAGATTGTGTTCGCACCACATAGGAATTAACTTGAAGTTTGTGCAAGAAGTCGATACAGTTAAATAAAACTTGATGAAACACTATGATGGCGCATTTCTGCTGCATGCAAAGGCTGGGGACTGAAGTGGCGCTTGCTGGTGAAACTTGCAACCTTTTTCCAAAGAGGCCAATACAGTCTGACAGTTTGTCTTTGGTAGCGTTTCCAATTTTTCCAGCACAGTAGAGGTGTTTCATACCGGTCTAATAGTGGTTGTAGTGCATTAGTTTTTGGGCCAGGATCACCTGGCGTTAGTTTCTGGTTTCTCTGTGAACAGTGAAGGAGGGTTGCCACTGTGGCCCTCCGTGGCTGACCGTCAACTTTGATGGATGGGAAGAGAAAAGAAAAAAAAAAAAAAAAAAAAAAAAAAAAAAAACAAAAAAAACAAAAAAACAACAAAAAAAATGAAGAAGTCTTTGAACTCTGTTACAGTGTGCCATGCCCTTAACAAGGCATGTGATATTGCAGGTTTATTTCTTATAG